CCTGCCCCTCCCAGGCCCCGCTTTTCCTGGGCTGCCTTCCGACCTCCCACTCTGGGTGAGGCTCCATTTTTGCTTTAGGCTTTGACCTTTCCCCTGACTCAGCAGGATTTCTTGGCAGAAGGGGAATGTCTCCCTAGGAGTCCCATCCTACCCTGTCACTTCCTAAGTGTGTTCATGTGGTCATGTGCTCCTTCCCGAGCATCTGCTGTGCCCTTTTTTCCACCTGCCCTGACCTTTGTCCCAGGAAGTAGCTCTTAGATTCAGGGAAATGGCCTTCGCTCTCCATCTAAGAGCCAGAGGCAGAGAGAGAGGAGGGTCTTGGCTGGGGCAGACCACCTGGTCCTTACTCCACCCCTGTAAACCCACCCCTCCTGAAATGTGTCCCTGTTTCAGGCATGGCTAGAAGTTGGTCTTCCTGCTGGAGATGCAGGGTAGTGAGGCTGTGGGCCTTCCTCCAGGTCTCCTTGCCCCCAGCCTCCCTGGTCCAAGCTGGAAGGAAGTTTCTGGAATGCAGGGCTGGACCCTCATGCCCTCCTCAAAGCCTTTCTGAGGCTCCCTATTGACTTTAGCTTCAAGCTCACACTTCTTAGTAGAAGGCTTAGCCCCTCATCCTCTTGCCCTGCCTGCCTCCCCTCCGTACCTGTCATCCTGCCCACTTCTCTATGTAGCCAGGAAGACCCTGTGTGGCCCCCAAGCCCTCTTCCCTGCTTCTCCCTTCTCTGCTTCCTCTACAGTGTTGCCCCTGCCTTGAAGGAGACTCCCCCACTTTTTCCCTGGTCAACCCCCACGATCCTTCAGGCCTCAGCTGACCAGCACCTCCCTCTGGAAGCCTCCCCTGACTACCCCCATCCCCAGCTGTATGTCCCAGCTCTCAGAGCTGTGCTTCCTCCTCCTTCATAGATGTTCACCACATTGTAGTGGTTGTCAACTCCATGGACAGGCCAGGACCTGTCCTTCTAGTTCATGGCTGACCCCTAGTGCTTCTGTACAGGGCCTGGCCCACAGTAGCTGCTGACAGTATTTGATGAATGAGTGAATGAAGGTGTGCAATCAGCTCATGATCTCACATTGTTGTTGGTTGTCCCTCAGGGTTTCATGTGTGTTGGTTTAGGCCGCATGGATGGGCCTTGAGGATGGGCTCATGTTTCATAGGAGAAGTGTATCTTCCTGGGGTAGTTGCTCACGGTGGGGGCCTGGTCAAGACTCTGGTGGGTGGGACCAGGTCTTTTAGACCTTCTGTCCCTTGGGCTTTCCCTCTGGAGCACTGCTGGATGGCCCCAGGTGTGTAGTAGGAGCTGAGCCAGTGTTGGTTGAATGAATGTGGAACTACCTCCCCCCGCCCCCACCCCAGTCCTAAGAGCATGGAGGGGGCTGTCTGGGGGATAGGTCAGCAGCTCACCGTTCACCAGGGCAATGTTCAGGCCTCTGCCCACGTTGTTTTTCACAGGACTCATGATCCTGACAAGAAGAGAAAATACGACAGTTGGACCCAAACGTGGAACGAACACTCTGCTTTTGTGACTCGGGAACTCCGAGAGGGCCCACATGGCACTCTGCAGAAGCATCAGGAAGCACACAGAATAACTTGGGCCATCTGTTTTCTCCTGGAAACAAGCGGTGGGCTGGATTCTCTGAGGAATTCTCATGGCATGTTTGGACCAGAACAGTCTGCTCAGAAAAGAGAGAAGGTCCCTGCCTGGGGCTCTGAGGTGTTGGAGGTGGGACCAGGCTACCTCCCCAAGCAGTGAAGCCTGGCTGCTGGGAAGAAGGCAGAACCCAGAACATTGCTGCCGTCCTGCAGCCAGGGATCGCTGCGTAGAGCCCAGCTGTGGCCCTACCTGCCCAGCATCCACACCCCAGTCCTCTGGCTCTCTTGGGAAAACTGTCCTGTACTCTCAGACCAGGTAGTTCTTGGGACTCACCTCAGTCTCCCAGGCCTGGACAAATAGAGCATCCTGTCCTCTAGTCACAGTGATTGAGCCTGGTGTGGTCATGTGACCCAGGCCAGCCAATGAAACTCAGTCTTGGGCCTTTTGCAGGGATAATTTGGGTGGGAGAAAGCTGTCTTCCCAGTGGGGTGCCAGCCTGGGCTAATATGCCAGCCAACCAGTGGCCTCCCTCCTTTACATGAAGCAGCCCATTCTCATGTCCCCAAAACTGAATCTAACAGAGGAGAACAGAGCTAAAGATGGTATGAAAGGGACCCTTGATGACGTGGTTTGAACCCCTGGATCCAGCTGGTCCTGAAGCCCGCTGTCTCTGGCCTTTTGTATATATGAACCACTAAGTTCCTTGTTTTGCCTAAGTGAGTTGGAGTTTGGTTCAGAAACCTGACTAAAACATCTGTGTCTGGCTTCTTTAGTAGGATAAACTTACTGTCCCCAGGGCCTTTACTACCTGGCTTGGATAATGGGTACACAGTATTTCTCTTGAACCTAAGTAGAAGTCTTGGCACCTGCTGCATCTGAACTTTGGTGCCTAGATCTTGACTTTGAACCCTCCCCAGAGGCATCCCCCTTTATAGGAAGCCCAGCAGTCTGGGTATCACACAGACCTGAGTTCAAATCCTGACTCTACCACCAGTTAGCTGGGTAATGCTGTCTGAGCCTCAGTTTCCTCATCAATTATAGTCCCACCTCTGGGAGTGTTGGGGGATTGAATGAGATGAAGCCACAAAGCATCTCACAAGGTGCTGGCAGATGGAGATGCTGCTGGGACTATTGTTATTTGTGACTCATCCACCCAGAGTAAAAGGAAGCCAGTGGAAGGTATGGGCTGCTTTCAGGGCCTGCCCTCGCAGCTTCTGACTTTGTGAATGAATGCATGAGTGAATGGAAAGAAAAAAAAAAAAACACACAAGACACTTACACCTGGTTTTCGAAGCACATGGTGGGGCCCACGACGTTAGCAGCCCCGCTGCTGATTTTAAAGGCGAAGAACTCTTTGGGGCAGGGCTTAGCGAGGCCACACTTGGCCTTCACGACTGCTGTTGAGGGAACAGAGCAACTTTAGCATTAGCAGCTCAGGAAGGGACCCGGGAGGGGGACGGGGAGGGGCCTGGGATCAGGCGCAGGACTGAGCTCAGAGGCCTCCTCCCCAAGGAGCTTTTGCTGACGGCCCGAGTCTGGGGGGTTTGCCCCTGTGTTCCCATGATGCCTCCAACAGTCCCCGTCAAAGACGCAGGACACTGGTCATGTGGTCTGACCACCCTAGAATTCATTTTTGGGGTTCCCATGGCAGCTCTAGCCCCAGCCCAGTGCCTGACTCAGCACACAGCACCCCCAGAACTAGTGTGGAGGAACAAGTGGTGGTTAATTACCACCCTGGTTATTACCAGGGTCGCTATGATGAAGGGGTTCTCTTGAGAACCTCTCTCTAGGGCCACAGCAGCCTTTTGAGCTCCCAGAGGCCCCCTGTTGGCAACCTCCTGGGGGCCCCAGCATGGTGGGTAGGAAGCCTCACCAGCCAGGTTCCCGAGTCTTCAACTTCCTTGTGTATCAACATCCTTATCTGTGAAATGGGATAAATAGGGTGCCTTTCCCACTGGGTTCTTGTGAGGAATAAGTGGGCACAGGTTGAGGCTCAAGACATATTGGGTAGTCTTCTTTTTTTGAAAAACTTTGTTTTAATTATTTACTGATTTTTGAGAGAGAGACAGAGAGAGAGAGACAGAGAGAGAGAGAATCCTAAGCAGGCTCTGTGCTGTGAGCATAATCTGTGCAGAGCCTGATGTGGGGTTCGAGACCACGAACCGTGAGATCATGACCTGAGCTGAGCTCAAGGGTCAACCGCTTAACCGACTGAGCCACCCTGGCACCCCTGGGTATTCTTATCACTCATTTAGTGATCATACTGAACACCTACTATGGGCCAGGCCCTGGGATACAATAAGGAACAGGCAGGTGGTTCTGGCCCTCTCTCCGTGCTTAGAATCCACTGAGGATTCAGTACGTGGCACCTCTGATTATTGTGGCTGCCATTAAGACCTGTGCCTTCCCCGTGTGGGCCTCAGAGGGCAAACCCAGGGAGGGTGTGAAAGGCAGGAAACGTATACAGGACCCCCAAACACAGCCGCTGAGCCACTCAGGCCTCAATCGACCCTTTGTGATCTGGGACATCCGTCACCTGTGCTTTCAGCCTGGCAGGCTTTAATTTATATTAATGCCTTGTGTTTTTGTTTTTTTAATACCACCTGACAGGAAAATACCTTTAGGGAGGGCTGGGTAAACACGGACTTAGAGAAAGTTCACCTGCAAAAGGAAGGCGGTGATTGGGCAGCCTCTCCTTCAGCCCTGTGCCAGGCATCTAGCTGAGCTATGTCAGTGCCTGCTTGGAGCAAACCCACAGGCTTCCTAGGAGAAGCTGGCACATGCCGACGGCTTGCTGCGTGCTGGGCACTGTGGCAAGCACTTTACATTGATCATCTTGTTAATTTGTGCCTATAACTCCTGTGCCTGGCATATAGTAGGCACTCAATAAATATTCACTGAATAAACCCACGGAGCATGTGGGCAGGGTGATTAGGGGCTCCAGGGCCCTTGGCAGCCTAGAGGGAGCCTTTATGTGTATCAGGGCAAAGGGCCCCTCCGGAGGAGACACAACCCACTGGCACAAGGCTTGGCAAGCCCATGACACCTCTAAGTAAGTAAATGTGCTCCTTCCTAGGAGTGAATGCCACCCACCCCGGGGTGCCCTGCTGCATTTCAGCTCACACACCTAGTGGGCAGCCCTGGAGGTCTGAGTGCAATGCCTGTCCTAGGCTCCCTGCCCTGCCCCCCGCCCCAACCCGGAGTTTCAACACACCCAGAGCTCAAACCAGGACATTGTCCCCAGAGTGAGGGCCAGGGATGGAGACACCCACAAGGGGCTGTCCAGGCCTGTGACTCAGGACAGAGAGGGCTGGAGACATGGACCTGACTCCCTTTCCCCACCTCCTGGAGGGGACCCTTCTCAAGAGGCCTAGCACCTGCCTGCGGGGCTGGCTGAGGATGAGGCGGGGGAGGGGTCCTCCTCTCCTATGAGTCTTGGGGCCCAACCTCTGGCCCCCGGGCCCCTCATGGGAAGGCCAGTTTACTCTTGAGACGAGAGGTTCTCATCTATGCTGGAGGGATTGTTCCAGGCCTCGGCCACCACCTTAGAGTGTGCCCAGAGCCTAATCAACTGCAGCTAAGTCTGATAAACCTGATGTCAACAGGCTGGCTTAAGCAGGCTTTTCTGGAATTGATTTTCTGACCATCCAGCCTTCACAGTCAAGCTGGATGAAAGGGATGATGTCCAGGGGTCTGAGCCACCGGGAGGCAGGGGATTTGCTCTCTGGGTTTGGGTGGGGTTGTTGCCCCCACCAGCCGCCTCAAACCCTGAGGCCTGAGCCCTCTGGGAACCCCTAGTGCTGTTGGTGAGGTCATGGAGCTCAGCCCTGGAAGGGGAGCAGTCAGGAACTGTGGGCTACTCTTCAGTAATCTGCGGTGCAACTTGCCAGAAATCTCTCCCTTTACCTTTGCTGACTGTAAAAATGGGAGTTGGTTTCGACCAGGGTTGTCAAATAGCTTTTTTCTTTAACGTCAGTGGATCTGCTGTTAGAGGCTTAATGATAAAGCTGTAGAGGCTGCCTGTGGGCCTGGAGGGAGAGGGTGCTGGGATTGACCGGTCATGTTGACCAGGGGAGCGGGCAGGGCGGGAGGCAGCACGTGGGCCTGGATTTGCCATCCTCTAGCAGGTGACGCCTGAGCGTTTGGACCAAGGTGTCGTGACACTGTGTCTACTGCAGGATGTGACTCAGGAAGTTTCAGGTCAATGGAGTTGAGGGTGTGGGGCAAATGGTTCGTGTTGGTCCATACGGTCTTTGCTCTCTGTAATCCCACAGTGCACCGGGGCTCTTATGTCCTTCTCAGTCAAAATTCTGTTCCTGGAACCACCTCCCTCTTCAGTCACTACTATGTCGAGGTGCAAGAAGGTGGGCCTGGGAATGTTGCCTCTCGCAAGGAGGTGTTGAGACCGTGGGCTCTGGACCACCACATACAGCTGTGTTGCCTTGGCCAAGAGATTTCACTTCTCTGAGTTTCAGTTTGCCCATCTGTAAAATGGGGATGATTATACAGCACCCACACAAGGCTGTGGTGAGGATTGCAGGAGATGCCTGTAAAGCTCTGAACATGGGGTCTGGCACATAGTAGGCCTTCCATCGTGGTACTATTATCATCAACATTACTGTCCTTACTCCCACCTTCTCCACACTTCGGGAGCTTGGGTCCTGGCCAAAGCCCTGCTCAGATGTGTGCAGTGTCCCACATTTGGGGCCTCAGCCACGGGCTCCCCTGCAGCCCCACACATTCCTGCTCTAGGCCTTTGCCATTCCCTCTTCTCTGATGCCTTCCATGACCCCATCTCATTGGAAGGGGACAGCCCTCCTGGAGCCCAGAACACTTTGCCCCATCTCTCTTCGCATGTTTGGCACTTCTACCCCAACAGACAATCAACACCCACTTCTGTTTGCCCCTGGGGGCCTCTGTAGTACCCGACATGGCCCCTCATACTTGGTAACAGGAACTGTGAGTCAAGCCTTGGGTCCCTGCATGATGATAATAAGCACAGCCCCCATCTTCTGGCCCAGGGGCCCAGTGGGGAGGCGGCTGTGCTCGGCCAGGTGCCGTGACAGGGAGGCAATCCAGACTGCAGGGCGAGGGGACTGGGGAAGGGAGAGTTGAGCCATAGATTTGAGAATCTATCAGTGGGCCACAAGGCTCGGGGGCTTCGGAAGGCAACATTGGGCCATGGGAGGAGAGAGCTGGGCAGACTCTGGACACAAAGATGTTTCCAGGACCTGCATGGCCAGGAATAGCAGCCCTGGGACATCTCACCCTAAAGCAAAGGCAGGGCTGGGGTGATACTCACGGATCTCCTTGGTGACCAAACCTGCTGGAGAGAAGACAGATCTGGTTAGAGAGGAAGTGCTTTGGGTGCTGGAGGCTGGGGTGTGGGGTGTGGGACATGGCATTGGCCTGGCCAAGGGATCCTCCTCCCCTGCAGGATGTCCCGCCCTTTCAGGGAGCCCTTGCTCACTTGCCACTGCTACCCCTTTACACACACACACACACACACACAGCACTTCCTACTCTAACAGAGCATGTTATTAAATGCATAAAATAAAATAGATTAGAAAGGAAACCAACTGTATATCAATACAGAAATAAAACATTAAAAAATAAATTTGTGCTGTGGTAATATATGTGCTTCTATATTAATGCATTAAATAATAAGGTGGGATGTGTGCAGCCAGGCTAGGAACCCCTGAAGACAATGAATGTTGTCTTTCAGTGGCTGAACATTAATGGTTTTCGATGACCACTGTTCCCACTGGTGACATTTTCTGTCACCGTAAGCATTTCTCGAGACTCTGGATCATGTTAATGCACTACTGTATATTCTGTAATTAAGTCTGTTTGTCTCCCCAACTCAGACCATGAGTGGGGGCCACATGTTAGGTCCCTGGGACCTAACACAGAATAGTTGCTCCATGATTGTTGGTTGGAGGTATTGATTTACCTCAGGTAGCTGAGTTCTGGGGTATCCTTCCTTTCTTTTTTCAAGTTTATTTTCTTTATTTTGAGAGAAAGAGAAAGGGAGAATCCCAAGCAGGCTCTGTGCTGTCAGCATGGAGACCGACAAAGGGCTCAGTCTCACAACCGATGGTGACCTGAGCTGAAATCAAGAGTCGGATACTTAACTGACTGAGCCACCCAGGTGCCCCTGGGGTTTCCTTTCAAACACTGTTCTCTTTCTCACCTCAGGCTTGGGCTGTCTCTTCTAGAGGACACACCTGATCTCCACTCCTGCTCTGAGCCTCCTGTACTGACCTGGGCCCATCCCTTCCCAGGCTGTCGGTACAGCCGAGTCAATCTGTATGAAAGCAGTGTCCAGGGACATGTTGGCCACCATGAATCTATATAAATCATCTTGACATGGGTGTGAGCCATGCTTGACAAGAAGTGTGTGAGGTGAGGGATCTCGGAGACTCCTCTGTGGGATGACTGGCTTCTCACAGCTGTGAAGTTGTGCGCTAGCCTGGGCCACTAGAGGTTATTATGTTTGATTGTGTCAATGGAGGTGGTTCTCTGAATCCAAGGAGAACAAATGCAGAGGCATAGATAGCTGCCTTTTCTCTCCTTCCTTTAAAAGAATTTGGACCTGTGAGACCACAGTTCCCATTCCTCCTGACATCTACAGGGAGCATTTGGGCAAGTTTCTTAAGAAAAGAAGGAGATGAGGAAACTTACACCACACCATGAGGTCATGTATGAGTCCACTCCACAACCAAATCTTGGATCACCTCATGGGGCATTTGTGCAGATTATATGAGATTATTCATGTAGGTAACTGGTATTACTTACTCATCCATCATCCCCCCATCCATCATCCACTCATCTGTTATCCACCCGTCCATCCGTCCATCCACCCATCTGTCACTCATTCATTACCCACCATCCATCACCTATCCATCCATCCATCCATCCATCCATTCATTTTTCTTTCACTCATCAAATGTTTACTGAGTATCTGCTCTGCACCAGGTGCTAGAGAAATGGATGTACACAAGATAAAATCCTTGCCTTCAGGAAACTGACACTCCAGGGGCTGGTGAAAGGCAACGACCAAGTAGACAAGTAAATAAACACTGGTGAAGCTCTAAAGGAAACAGGCTGACATGAGAGGCAAAAGTAGGACAAGGGGGTGTGGCTGCAGCTGGGGTGTGCAAGAAAGGCCTCTATGAGGAGGTCACATCTGAGCAGAGACCTGAAGTCTGAAAGGAGCTGGCTGCAGAGAGATGTGCAGAAAGAGTGTCCCGGGCAGAGGGAAAGCAGCTGCAGCTGGAAGCCACAATGCTCAGTTTTCTCCTTTTTGGCCTCCCTCTCTTCCTCCCTCCTTCCTTCCTTCTTTTCTTCCTCCCTCTGTCCTTCCTTCTCTTTCCTCTTTCTTCTTGGAATCACATTTCCAAAATGACCCCTTGATGTAGGTGCGTGTTTCAGCCAGGGCCTCGGAACACTTCCGTGTTCCCCATGGGCTCCAGCCTTCCCGACAGCCTCCACCCCCACAAAGGCTGGGATCCCAAAGGCAGCCCACACCATGCCGTATCTGGTGGCCCATCTCCTGGGCCACCCACGGACAGAGGGAGGAATATATCCTTGGCCCCGTCCTGGTCCGTAGGCCCTACCCCCCAGGAGTGGGCCCCACTCACTCAGCCAGCGGGGCAGACGGATAGTTTTCGCGTTTAAGCTGATGTAGCTGCGAATAAAGATCCATGTGGTGACCAGGGCAAAGATGAGGGCCAGGAAGCGAAGCACACCTGCAGATCAAGGAAATGCTGCCATGAAGCCACATCACAAGGCCAGATAGCAAGATTCTTACCAAATCCTCACAGTGAGACCATGCCACAGGACCCCACTGAGGGACCCTGTGTTGTAGCTCCAGATCAAGACCCACACCTTGGACCAGTTCAGGGGACCACATGGTGAGACCACGTGTGAATCCATGCAGTGATCAAGTGGTGAGATCACGCTACAAGATTACATGGCAATATTTCCCAAAGTGAATCCACTGGGAGGAAAAGGTAGAAATGCATCTTCCGGGGCTCCGCTTAGCCATCCCGAGACAGAATCATTGAGGGTGAGGCCTAGAATCTGCACTTTGGAGGCTGGAGAGGTGTGTTGTGAAAACAGGAGGCAACTTCTACTGCAGACAGCCCTAAGAGGCGAGCCTCCCGGCAGGACGTGGAAGGCTGCGTCCAGGGCCCCGGGCAGCCGGTGCCGCTGTGTGATGTTGGGCGGACCTCAGGATCTTTGGGTAGGAGTGCCTCAGTCAGAGTGAACATGGTTCAACACCCTTGCCTCTGAGCCTGCAGCTTCTTGGGAGGGATGTGACAGTTGTCCCTGGTAGGCAGCCTCCAGAGTGGCTTGGGGCCGGCCTCCCACACTTTCCATCACTCCCCCTGAAAGCCACCAGAAATAGCCACACAATGCTGTCTATAGAAATACACATGGCCTTGCTGCCACGGCTTCCCTGGCCTCGTGGCCAGATTGCTTCCGCATCAGTGGGGAGCAACCCCACACACAGGACAGACACCCACCCCCACCCCCCACCCCTCTGAGCTCCGTGTCCTGTCTCTTCCCTTACTCTCCCATGAGGGTCAGAAGCAGGCTCCACTATGCCTCCCAGCTCAAGGACCCTAGTGGCCCTGCCGTCATCAGGCCACGTTTCTCTAGCTCCACCCCTGACCTCCATGTGGCCCTGAAATCAACTCCATGGTCTCATGCTGGTTTCTGGCTACTTGGGGGTAGGGGAGAAGACTCCTTGGATCCTGGGGGGCAGGGCTCAGGTCTGTGGGAGTCCCTCATCTTCTGGGGTGCAGTGTGACTGTAGGCACCCAGAATTCTCCCTGGGTATTATATTGTTAGGGCACCAGGAGAACAGCTTTTACATACATTATTTCAGTTCATCCTCACAATAAACTTCTGTGTTACATACTATTGACTATCCCCATTTTACAGATGAGGAAACTGAGGCTCAGAGAGGTGGTCACTTGGCTGGTAAGTGACAACGGTGGGGTTTGAACCCAGGGAAGTAAGCTAACTCTAAAATTTGTGCTCTTCCCTGCAGCTGTTTGGGAATATAGATGAATTGTGTCCATTTCTTACTTGGTGCCTCAGTTTCCCTATTTGTACAGACAGAGTATAGCATGAGGGCGTGGATGAGAAGGCAAAAGCTACTCCTTGTGCCCAGCCCCATGATGTGAGGATTCTAGACTAGCCCTCCTTGAGACAAATATTTTGTCCCTAATTTCCTACCAGGATCAGATATTTCCAAAACAGGGTCACTCCCTGTGATCCCAGCCAGATGGGATCATCGTGCCAAGCTTCTCTGGTCCCTCAGCCTAGAGGCAGGAAGTCTCCTTTTCTCCTCTTCCAGGCTCCCCCTGGATGGGTTTCCTCCTGGAATTCTGGCCTGACCATTTGAGAGCACATATGGCCAAACAACCTGGGAGTCTAGGACTGCCTGCACTGCTGATCGAAAAATGATTCCCAAATCGATTTCAGACCTCAGCCTTGAGCCTAAGAATCCTCAGAGCCTGACCCTACCTGACACTCTCATCTTGTCCAGGTGAGGAGTGGCTTGGGGTCAGTGTTAGCCTGTGGAGAGAAGGAAATCAAATTGGAAACTGGCACCTGGGGTCTGAAAACAAAGAAGGCTGACAATTAGGGACAGGTACCTCGAACTGAGGAGATCACAGACCTTTCGGTTTGGTTCCTCACCATCTGCCAACTGTTCCCTCTCTGCCTCCACCTCTCCTTCACTTTTGTCCCTAGAACTTTATTCAATTCAGCATGTCTTTTTTGGTGCAGACATTGGCCAGTGGAGGAAGGTGAAATCGGCCAGCCACTGTCTCTTGGAGGGCTGGCTTATTCACTCATCCATCCATTCATCCTCCCTCCCTCCCTCCCTCCCCTTCCTTCCTCCCTCCCTCCTTTCTTCTTCACTCCCTCCTGTCTTTCCTTCCTTCCTTCCTTCCTTCCTTCCTTCCTTCCTTCCTTCCCTCCAGCTAGCCGAGAGACATTGAGCTTGAGCTAGCTAGCCCTAGTCAAACCAGCAGGAAGACAGAAGCTCGAGTGAGCTCGAGTGAGAGTACCAAAATGAAGAGTAATGAGGACTCTCCCATGACAGCTGAGTTTGCACAGGGTGCTATATATGCAATTGAATCCTCCTTGAATTCTCACACTCCCCCATTTTAGGGGTAGGTAGACCAAGACTCCTTATGGTTAAGCCCAGGATTATTCAGATTGTAAGGATGGGAGTCAGAATTTGGATGCAGGTCTCCACTGCCCAATCCCCACAGGGTCCCATTGCCAGTGCTTTTGTCTCAGGAGAGTCGAAATTGGGGTTTCCTCCCTTCTTGAGACCTGGGCACGGGTAGGGTTGTCCTTGGCCCCTCCTCCTTTCCCCTGTGCCACCCCCCAAGTGCTGGGCAGTTACCAGTGATTTGGCAGCTTTGAAGACCCCCAGTAAGTCTCTAGAGACAGAATGGAGGGGAGGGCAGGGCTGGTGGTAACTGTTCCACGTCTGTGACCCGCTGCAGCCAGCTGGAGGGGCCCTGACCTCAAGGACTACTCCCACCACTCTTCCTGCCCCTCCCATCCCAGAATCTTCTTTATCATAAGAATCTATCTCAACAGACATGGTCTCCAAAGTCCAACTGTCAAGGACCCAGATAAGAGACAGGAGGCTTGAGGTCTGCCACTGAAGCAGTGGGCTGCGTCAGTCCTTGACATTTAAACAAGAGCAAGCACTAGTGCAAATCTGCATTTCCTTTTGTTAAGCAGGTATAAAACCGCTCCCCTCCCCCCACTCTGGCCCTGCCTTCCAGGTCCTTCCAGGTGAGAGAAGTGAGCCGTGCCTGACACCACCCACAGAGATTTTGTGGGACTTTAACTTCCTGAAATTCAAATTACCACCCCCCCCTTTTTCTCCAGATACAAAAGCATGTTATGCTTTTGAATGTTCATAGGATGTGACCTATAGTGAACAGTGACTTACAGAGAGCCCAGGCCAGAGATGAGGCTGGCAGGACATTCTGTGGGATCCCCATCTGTGGAGGTTCCAGGAGAGCTGGGGGCCCAGCCGGATGGAAGGAAGTATGAGGACAGGGTCAGATAGATGAGGTGGCACAGATGAACAGATACTGATATTCGCAGACAGCGAGTCAGAGACAGAGCTTGGAGACAGCAAGGACAAGGGGACAGGGAGCTGGCAGAGATATAAAGAGAGGAAGAATGAGACAGGGACAGAGGACGAGAACAGATAAAGGGGCAGAGGTAAAGAGCAAATACTCACAACATGCACTTACCCAGATTCGAAGGGAGAAAGAGTGCCATTCAGAAAGACACAAGAAAGATAGGACAGAGGCTGGGGCACATACCTGGCAGGGGGCTAGCTTCTCGCTGGCATGCCCATGCCAAGCAGGGTTCTGGCTTCAGGGTGGGGGTGGGGAGGGGCGGGGCAGCTCTTCCAGCTGGACGTGTCCACTCTGCACCTGCAGGGCTCTCCAGTCTCCTGAGTCCCTGGCCGGCTCACCCTGGCAGCCCGTGGGTGCTCTGGAGACTCCAGCTTCAGAGTCGCGGGCTCCGGGACTGGACTACTGGGGGCGGGGAGGGAGGAAGACCGGCCCTTGGGACGGGTACGCAGGGTGGGGCAAAAATTCCCTCTGTAGCCACCCAGACCCAAAAGTCTCTTTCCTACCTGTTCTTGCGAGATTTGTCTGTCACAACCTGTTATTCAGGTTACGTAGCTGTGGGGCAAAGGTGCAGGGAGAGAGGTCTTCCTGCCCTTGCATGCTGGCTTGAGGCCTAGGCACACATATGGTGGCTCCAGGGTGGTCACAAGGTCAGGGGGGTGGGAGGGTGGAAAGTAGGGGATGGGGGAGGAGAGGTGCGGAGTAGGAGGGCAGAGCCCCTTTTTCACCCTCGAGGTCCTTGAGCCTCTCCCTTTGTCCTGCCCCTCCCCTTGAGCCCCTTTGGACTGGTTGCAGTTCTTTTGCATAAGCCCCAAGCATGGTTTTCTTTTCCAAGGCAGGCCTTATCTCCTGTAGGTCTAGGGCAATGCTGAGCACGGAGGAGGTGCTCCATGAATATTTTGGGACTGAATGAACTCCATTCTTGCCTAGTCCTGAAAGGTTAGGACAGTTAAAGTTCAGAGAGGACAAGTGACTTGTCTAAGGTCACACAGCCAATTGTGGATTTCCTTTCTGAAGCATTCTCTGAGCACTCATGGCAAGGCAGGCTGTGCATTAGGCAGGGGTGTATGGCTATGAGCAAGATACACTCTGGAGTGTTCCTGGGCCTTTGCACCCCTAGTCCCTGTCTGTACACCGTTCCTCTGCCTCTTTGCCTGGAACACTCATACTTATCGTCGGGTCTCAGTGTAGGAGTCACTTCCTCTGGGAAGCCTTCCTGGACCCTCCACATCAAGGTGAAATACCTACATGTGGTCCTGGAGGAGGGGACACTTGTCATGGCACCTCACCCTGTCGTAAGGGGCTGGTCAGGGAGAGCACTGTGATTTCTTTGTGATTGGTTCAGAAGGGGGCATGTGACCCAAGCAAGACTAATTAGAGTTTTTCCTGGGACAGATGTGTGGAAACTGGAGAGAAAGAAGCTATTTTTTACCAGGTTACTCTAAGCTAGCCATCTGTGAGTCTGGGGCCATTGTAACACATCACCCCCTGCTGTGGGCAAGTCCCGCCAGAAGGTGTAAATGCCAGGGCTGAGTAGTGGGGCATACTTGAGAGAATCAGGGAGGAAAAAGTCTGTATTGTCAGGAAAGAGGATGGACTTTGGGTCCATTGGACACACCTGGGTTAGTCACTCAATACTTGTGTGCTTTGGGGCACATCTCTCTGGGCCCCAATTCGTCCTTTGTGAAATGAGGGTGATGCTATCTACATGTCCCGAAAGGGGTGTCAGGCAGAGAGGCTGTCTGCCTACAAGGGTTTTGCTGGCCTGTTGGCCCCACTTGCCCCGATGCTTCCTCCTAGCACCCTCCTTGGCAGGATTCTACTCGGATGTTTACTTTTCCTACGAAACCAAAATGTCATCACAGCCTGCTTGTTTGTGACATTCCTTAATGGCCCTCTAGGAGCTGGGAAATCAGCTTCTTCCTGTTTCCTGGAGCCCTCTTTACTCAGGTGCCTTGGAGCTTAACCTTTGAGCTCTGTCCCAGAGCCAAGATGAACGGAGGAGGGGTTACTCTCTATCCAGTCTAGGAGGGTTGAGGAAAGCACCTTGATTGGAAAGCACTTATTTCAAGTGGGTATTTCCCCTGCTTAAACCTGGTCTATGGTCCTGAAATCTCTCAGGATGAAGGCCAAAGTATCTCACGTGGAGGCCTTGGATGATTTTAACCCTGGCACGAGATTGACCTTACCAAGCTCATCATCTGCTGTCCCCACTTTGCTTTCTGCTCTAGACACTCAGAGCTGCCCTGAATGAGGCTCTCTCTCCCCCTCCAGCCTCACACATGCTGTTCTCTCTATGTGGACTGCTCTCCCCTGACTCATCCACTTGGGCAGCTTTTCCTTGTCCTCAGGTCCTTACCCAAGCAGCCCTTTGCCGTTGGAAAGACAGAACCTGGAAGCTGTTTCCTAGCTCATCCCAAGGACCCAGGCTCAGCCAACAGTCACTCCTGAATCAGCCCTGAGCCACAGGTAAAATGGAAAGAGCTCTGCAAACAATGCTCTGCATTTTCCCTGGCTTGGGCGTTAGCCACGGGTTCAACTTCGCTCTCTGATCTTCAGGTCATTTCCAAGGAGGCATGAACTTGAGGCCAGATACGGAGCTCGGAGAAATCAGATTGCAGTTAGCACCAACTGTTGCTTTATGGCTGCACTTTTATTTGCTTTAGCCCTTCATCTTTTCCGGCACCTGCTGGCAATCAGGTTTCCTCCTCTCTGCCCGGAACCATACCTCAAATTGCTGCCCAAATTCTGGAGCAGGGAAAAACCCGTTTAGATACACCTGGGAGAAGAAATGGCGAACACATGGTGTGTGTGCGGCCTCTCATCCTCCTGTGACCGTGGAAGACATCAACAACCCATACTGATCTCGGCTTCTGAGTCTTTTCTACGTGCAGGGCACCTGGGCTGCTCAGTCGGTTAAGCGTCCGACTCTTAACTTTGGCTCAGGCCATGATCTCATGGGTTCATGAGATTGAGCCCCACATCGGGCTCTGAGCTGACAGCCTGCTTTGAGATTCACCCTCTCCCTCTCCATTCTGCCCCTCTCCCACTCACCCATGGGTACACACTCTCTCTCTAAATAAACTTTTAAAAAAGAATCTTTTCAATGTGCTGCTTTAAGCAGAAGCAATCAATTTCCACTGCTGTCTTAGAGATTTACTGAAGAAGAAAATAGCAGACACTCGCCATTCTAGGAAATACCGTTAGTGTGATACCCCACCTGAGGGGTTTCTCTTGGCTCCCCTGGGTCAGGCTGGGAGAGTCAGGGAGTTAATTTCCCTAGGAGCAGCTCTCAGCTAGTATGGTTGAGAGTCTGAGGACCCTACCCTGGCTTTCTCATCTTAGGTATTTTTTTTTTTTTTTATAAATCTTTTTTTAAGTTTACTTATTTATTTTTGAGACA